CCGGTCTCTATTTCTTATCCACCGTATTTCCGTGATTTGCGAGAGTTTAGACTCGGCCCCAATTCCCAATTTTGTTATTTCCTAGTCCCTCACCTCGTGTTGTTTCCTTGAATCCTTTCTTTTGTTACCTAAAGCATTGTAATTTTCTGATGGAGATTTTCTCTCAGTTTTCGAATAAGTCGATCCTATACCGCCTTCTGTAAATAGGACAGGCTATTTTGAAAGCCCACTCAACTTAATTCTTTCCTTTTGATTAAAACGCTATTTTCTTATTAATCGAATGTTGAGTTAATTAATTCGCAGTATGACACTTTCCTCTATTTCCTTTCACTTTCCGTTTACTAGGCGAGATAGAATTGTAGTTTTGGCTAAGCAGTAGTGTTTTGAGATTTTGAAGTTAAACGGCCTTACCCCTCTCTCTCCGAAGTTGGCACGTGCGCTCTGGACTAGGCGGCCGCACCGCACCGGTCGCCCGAGCGAAGGACCGGCCGAGAGACGTTTTGTGTTCTCTGTGTATTAAGATTTTGTGTATATTTTAAGAAGTGGCCTCCGGGGGAGGCCTGGCGCCCAAATTTTTAGGTTTAGTGGAGTCGATTCGGAGGGTGTTATGATGGACTCCAAGAGCTCGTAAGTTTTGGTGGAGTTTTAAGTAACCTCTCGAAGGGTCCGGTGGACTGCGAGAGTTGGAGTTTTAGTGGGAGTTAAGAGTTTCTCAGACGGTCTAGCTCTAAGCGATCGGGCGAAGGTGAAGCATGCAAGAAGCCGAGGTGCAGCGGGCCTCGGCACGGACAGATAGCCCTTTAAAAAATTGCCACGTCACAGTATGTAATTGTACATTTTCAATAAAATTGTGGATCGGCACATGTCCACATTAATTGGTCATTACAGATGCCGCAAAATCGTCGAAAATATTCAGTGTTCGTGAAATAGTAGATAGAATTATTCTGTCGTGATGTTTGTACGAAATTGTCCACTTAAGAAAATATTGTTGTACGTTTTACTCCATTTCTTGTCGTTTTCGCAGACCTGATTGCAAAGGAGCATGCGCTGCTGAATAGCAGAACTTTTGTAAAGTTATTACATACTTTTGCACAAGTGAATACGTAATCGTATAATTCAGAAGTACATGAAAAATTGTATGAAATCCTTATTATATACGTGGCCCTCAAAATTCGGTCAGGATTTCATTACAATTCACTTTATCGGCTTACGTGCAGTTCTAAAAAAAAATGAAACTCTACCGCAACTAAAAGTTATACGGCCGGGAACTTCTAGAGTAAACTTCTAGTGGGTAGACGGCATTCAAACTACTAGGGCCCCTTTTTTATCGATACCACCTAAGACCCCTGAGCTGCGTCGGAGTTGCTTTTCGCCTTTTGCATCCTCTTAACTAACGATTTTTATAACTAGTTACATCCTGGCAACAACTTTTTTCGACTCGCCTTGGCGCGTTTCCATCGTGCTCCCGTGAGTCGACAATAATGAAAAAATCATATTTTTAGGCATGGTGTACCAAACAAAAAATGTGAAATAATTAATGCAAGTAGTGTCCAACAATAGTTACAAAATGATGCAAGAAATTATTTGTACCGTTTTCATTTTTTTTTAATTAAGATTTTATATATCAGGAATATCATTACAAGTCTAACCGACCTCCGTTAACCTTCAACAAAACTCGTAGAAAAGATCTCCATGAGGTATATACGCATGACTTTGTTACGTGCGCATTCTCCGTACCCTAGCCTAAGGAAAAAGCCATTCTCCAATCACCGAAAGCTAGCTATGGAAATCCGAGTACGGAAACGCGATTAGGAAACTCTTGCGAAAGGATCCAACACTAAATCACCTGACACGACAAGTTCATCGGCCAAGACGACTCCAGAAGTCATCGATCGACCCGAGGCGAACAACCTGATGACTACACAACGCGTCAGCACGACCCAGAAGCGCCACCCTCACCTGGGCCCTAGCATCTCCCACCAATTGGAACACCCGCCCAATAAAACCAGCCTTCAGTCAACGGGTGGTAATTAGTGTCATTCAGTCACCAGTTAGTCTTTTCAAGTTAAGTCAACGTCGACGTCCGTCGACAACGTCGAGTGGAGCTCCTGGTCCTCAGTACTCCGCTCCTAGCGAATCAGAGACCAAGATCGCTGGACTCCCTGTCGAAGACCATCTATCCTGCGAGCTGCAGTAGTGCCACCCGGTACTCAAGCGATCCCGGCGCACCGAGTCAGGAACAGACGGCCGCACTGCGACTTCTGTTGAACGGTAGGCGTCTAGGGGACCTCCAACCCTAGGGCACGCCACGGGACGAAGGTGTCCACGCAGTGTCACCCGGCTGGGTCGATCAAAGGAGAGTGTCACCGAATTTAGCCACTGATCAAGCCAGGTAGAGGATCCTTCGCAAACTCGACTCATCTTCATTTCATTCCAGTTTACTTCTTAACCCCTCATCTCCGATCAACCCGAATTCTAATCATTACCGCGATTTCCATGCCTTGCTCCGGTTAACCGGATAGATTAAGATCTCATTAACTTCCTTCGAATAGCTGAGCTCGAAATTTCAGCATCGCGAGATAGACTAGAATCACACGCAGACTGCCATTAAACAGCAAAGAATTCCCGCGTCAGCATCCCGGCGTTCAGTAACCTACCGCCGCTAAAGCGCGCTATCGTGACACCCGAACCGCCGCGACGCGGGAGTATAATAACCCAGAGAAAATTAGGTCAAGAAACCTCGAGGGTCCATCCCAGCTGATTGTAAATTAAACCTCACGGACGAATAAATGCAACCATTACAGCACACTAGCCCACATTGCCATTCGTTCCAACTCCCTCTTCAGTCCTCACTTCCCTAGATCCCAACACAGGAATTGATCTAGTAGCTCGAATCAACCTCCTGGCAAGATTAGAGTACTCGTTACGCGCGAAATGTGGGTAATCTCTACCCGACTCACTCCGGCCGCCATGTAAGAACTTTTTGCAAGAACACTCGATAATTAAAATGCGAGTAAAGAATGAAAATCGAAAACGTCATTTATTGCCTACTATCCAGAGGGGGGGGGGGGTATGAAGGTTATGCCTTATGATCCAATAAGCAAATTTCAGTTGTTAATTTAAACTGTTCACGTTGAGGGCAATTGACTCACCCCCTCTCCTTCAACCCAGGATACTCTTTAGAAAAAATAAGATTTCATGGGTGTCAGGATTTTTTTAGGACTTCCATATTCACTTAAAAAAAATTCACATAATTCAGTACATCCAGTTCGGAAAAATATTTCATAAGCGTGACCCCTCAGACATGATGCTCATATTACTTTTAAGGGCGCTCACCACTCCAGTCATTTTGCAGGGCCTCACAGGGACAACGATTCCGAACTTATTTCTAAACCGATCGAGCTTAACGAGTGCTCATATCGAAGATGAAATGTTGACCTGTGTTCATATGGGAGCGATTTTCGATAAGTGGTCATTTTCATATAAAAAAGTGCAACGACATAATTTCAATGCCCTTTTAACTAGGAAGGAAGTGCTTGATCAAAAATCGCTTTCATATAAACACACGTCAACATTTTATCTTTAAAACGGGCACTCGTTGAGCTCGATCGGTTGAAAAATAGGCTCAAAATCGTTGTCCTCGTTGAGCACCTTTTTCAGAATTTTCGAGTTTCTCGCAAGGAATTTGGGTATTCCTTAGCAACCGTTGCTGACTCTAGGTAGAGCGTCCAAGTGGCGTGTGCGTGCGGCTGGGTGTCACACACGTTTTGGCGCCTAGCCCAGAAGCGTCCAGCCGTTGTGTGAGTCCTACACGTGCAAAATACGCACACATTTTTCGCCCGTTGCTAAACACCGCCCATTATGCGTCGCGTCTCCCTCATCCGAGCGAGAAAGTACGTTTTGGTTACCTCCCACCGAATTCGATGCTAATGCCATCTAGCGGAGCAAGTCATCGTCCCCACTTTGGTGGTGAACGCCGTTAATAATTATACCTCTATTCCTCTTGAGTGTTTCTTGTCTTTTTTTCGGCCTCGACCATGTTTTTTGTGTACACTGCAAGTTATAATATATTCTTTATTAGAAGCACAACAAATAATAAATGAATCGATCTTTAAAGCTGAGAGAAATTTTAGAGCAAACATGAAAGATTTAACATTAAAACTGCCGATAATTTATATCTACTTGTTTCTATCGGGACAGATCAAATAACCGGTAGCTGAATAAAAGTTAATTTTTGTCAATAGAATGCAAGTAACAGTAAATATAAGTAAGGGCAATAATAAATGAAATTATTTTTAAGTGTTAAATAAAAAAATATTTTTTATTTTAATTTCAACATTTATATTATTATTAAATGGTCTTATTGCGCAGTTATAGGTGCGAATATTTACAGGGAACTGATGAAATATATGCACGCGATGAATATTGTCTATATTTAACAATATTCATTCGATACAAACAAATGAACTGGGAATACTTTAACTTGATTTACGTTGTTAGTATCTATGTACAGGGCGAAATAATATTGGGGAATATTCAAATTTGTTTTAAAGTTAAGACTTCAGAGTAGATTATTCGACCACTCAAACGACCAGTAGAAATAGTTATAATATACTTGTATCTCGGAACAAATCGGGAGGGGAAAAGAATGCAAAATTGCTCTTGCTTATGTTACGGAAAAAGTGGTGAAATCAGCTGAGGAAATGCGATAAAATTTAAAGAATGATTTTAAATAAAAATTGTAAACCCGTCATTTAACCGGCTTGATAGTTTCAGTATTAAATTAGTTTCTTTTTTAATTGCTACATAGTTTGCGGAAATTGCAAACAAATGATGCGATAAAAATGTAAGATAATGAATGTGGGACGAAATGCTCTTAAACTTCTAATTTTTCATAAATAAACATTATGCAAGCATTAAACATATTAAGTGGATGATTGACAAATCTCCCGAAATATAAAGCCAACAGGTGAGTTAATTTGATCATTAGAACGCCTAAATAACACATCGTTTCAATTTCTTTAATTAAAGAAGTTAAATCGCTAAAAATACATTAAAGCATAACAGTGACTATGTTACTCATACTTTCTACTGTTTTCTCAATATGTGACTCTGCGTCTTTCTTTCTCTTCCTTATCATTTCTCTTTCATACGTTCTTTCTCCCGTTTTCACTTTTGTATACACATTCGCATTTCAAAACTTGTTTATAACAAGAATTCGGTGTTTGATTGATGTTAAATACATGTTTACCCAGCAAACTCATTTACTTATGAGTTTTTCTGATCAATCACGATCGAAGACTAGCTTCAGTCTGCGTAAAATTGGAATATTTAACGTAATGAAACGAAAAATTCTTTGCTTGCGTTGAGAATACGAAATACAGAGTGTACCTGGTTATGTATCTGATAAAGCACTCCAGTTTCTGACGAATTATAGACACTAACCTGAACGAATTACATATACCTATAAAGGTAATTTCTCCTCTAAGGAAGCTAAGCTGTTTACTCTCACCTTAAGCGAATCGCCTGATATCGAAAATACATCGGTCGTTGGTATTAAATACAAGTCCATACGTGTAAGCAATCGCGTGCAGATGTATTCACCTCCAATTTACACATAATATATATTACCGTGTAATGATTATATAGATGGTAATGAATTACATAAGAATAGCTGCAACAAACAGCATTACACTAAGAACCGTTGTAATATGTGTACAAAAGTAAAGCATAGAGGGCTACGGTCAACAATGTAGGTATTAAAAGCTGACCGCAAACGAGGAACGAGGCGAGATGCTTTTTGCACGTCTGTATGCTTTCTATTCAATTCTAGTCGACTTTATTGATCAGGCTGAGAAAGAGCTGCAGTCACAGTCTCCATAAATTGCTGAGGTTCGCAGGGTGGTGTTCCATCATGCGAATTTCCTAGCTGTGGCGTGGCAGGAGTTGCTGGCTGCGAATAAGAAGTTCCACTGGGTGCGTAAACCAGACGGTAGCCTGCCGGTACAAAGAATCCACCGTGTGGAGTATATCCAAAGGTTTGAAAGTTGGCCAATGTTGGCTGTTGATGATAGTGCACGCAACCATCGTTTCCGCGCGAACTAGAGATCGGTATAGGCGCTACCAACGAACCCGAACTAATTCCTGCGTCATCGGTTCCATCTGGCAGAATTGGCGAAAATTGATACTGAGACCGATTGAGAACAGTCGGCCCATTTGTTGAACCAATGATCTCGAATGATTCGTTCCCATGCCCATGGTTGCTGTCCTGTGCAGTAGATGCAACATTTTGCACATTTTCTGGAGGCACTAGTGGAATTGGTATTACGTATGCACGTGGTATGCTCGTTGCCTGCTGTTGTTGAGTCTGTTGAAGCGGCTGTTTTAACTTCTGCATGGCTAATCTTAAAGTTTCATCGGTATCTGGAGAATAACTCGTTACCCTTTGCAAAGGAGTCTGCGGAACGGTACTGAACATTAGGTGATCCTCCATCCCCGGAGCTTTTACTTGTCCTGAAAGCATATACACAGAATAATAGTAGTAGTTTCCACTGATAAGGATTTGACTACGTCGTAGATTTCGGCAATTGAACAAATAATACTACTTATACGGGATCTATTATAAATCTTTCGTATGCAATCGGCACACGAAGGTACCCGCAAGGAAAATTTCGAGCCGGGAAAGCGCACTGCAGTCGGGCTGTTCAATATCTGAAATTCAATACCGGCGTTCGATAATTTTTAGTTATCGGTAATTATTGATATATCGAAACTCCGAATATATTCTGATATATTCCGATATATTTATTGAGTATTGTGACGTGGTAAAATTTGGTTGCGTCACGACTGCTCTAATATTTGTTACTCTGCCCATTTTTACGATCTTAAATGATCCGGAGTTCGACGGTCACTGGCCCGAAGGGAGGGTAACATGACATTTAATTGTGTAATTTTACTGCGGTTTGCTGAATTTCTGAGGACGCGAGAACTTCAGCCAAGAGAACCGGCGAGCAGCAGCGAATTATATATGGAACGTAAGTGTTCCGCGCCCGTTTCGAGTACCCTTTTAGAGGCACATTTAGAGTCCACAGCTCTTTATCCGAGTTCGTTTTGTAGGAACAGTGATCGCGCCGGTGATCGGGAGTGTGTCGAGTAGGCGATCCTCCACTTTTTCGCGCGGGCGATCTTCCCGTTTTCCCTGGTGGGGTTTTCTCTGGTAAGGAACTGCGGAGAAAGGCCGAATTTTGGGTTGAAATCGCGGACGGCCGAAGGGCTCTTCAAGCGGACGCGGAATTTTCTTTCTTGCGTTTTCTAGTTAGTTTGTCTCTCGCGTGAAGATTAACGGATTATTTTGTCTTCGGCGAGATACTTCTGCTAGTGCGATAATCTCTAGACTTTCCTTTACGACTAGTTTTCAAGTAGGATTGCCTGATTGTCTTTCTCTCGGGGTCGGAGGCAGAGAAGCCGCGCGGCGACCACGCTGTCCGCGACCCGAGTTTTCTCTTCTGGAGGGCCTTACTTTTTTTCGATAATTTTGTGTTAATTGAGAATTTGTGTAGCGTAGAAATCATATCGAGTAATTACTTTCGAACCCTATTTTCTTGAGTAATTTGGTGCAATTGATTTAGAATTCCAGTAATTTTGAGATAACCGCGTAATTGATTTCGAATTTTATTGTCTCTGTGATAATTTTTGGCGTAACGAATGTGGAATATGATTTTCTTAGTTACAATTTGGGATAATTGATTTAGAGTTGAATTATCTCAGGGATAATCTTGTGTACTTAATTACGAATTTCTTCATCTCAGTAATTAAAATTGAATTTCGATTATCTAAGTGTGAATTCGAATCAAATTATCTAGAAAAATAATTTCGATCTAGCGTAAATTTAAATATTTCTGTCCATGAAAGCAAGCGCATCATATTTCTATTTAAGAGTAATTTTCCAAATTATTGAACCTTTGTTTGAGCTGGATTTGGGTTCCGATGATTACGAGCCCGTTTAGAATTCCCGACATCAAGTAATTACGAATAATTCTCTAATTTGTCGAACACTTTTTGATTTTGAACCGAAGCTTTTCCGAAATTATCTTGAGTGCTTTTCTAATCTCCGATCTGAGTAATGTTGTTTCTGGCATTCTGAAATTGTATCTCGAGTAAATTTACTGGCAAGGATTCCTCGCTCGTACCTACTTCCTTGGGGGCGGCCTTCCGTCAAACGCCGTCCTCGCTGTAATTTTCTATTGTTTGCGGCCAAATTGTTAAACGAATTATTTTCCTATTTTCATTTTCTTATTAGAATAAAATTGTCAATTTTGTTTACTGGACTGTTCTTCGTCTTGTTATTAGCTGAATTCTTCGACTTCCAGGTTTGAGTTCCGCGATTGTCGTTTGAATTTACTGCGTTCCCCACAGTGTGGTCTTACACCGCCCTCTTCGAATCTTGGCGCGTGCGCTCTGAGCTAGTCGGCCGCGCCGCTGGTGGGGCCAAAGAGGGTCAAAACTGGCATTAAATCGAACCGTCATGAAGTTATTTTTTAAATTGCATATTTCTTTCCGGTTCCCTTCGTAGTGTTAAAGGAAAAGCATATATGCAGCTTCTTGAGTTATTTTGGTTTGTAAAATTAGTAGGGAATAGTTTGAACAACTTATCAGGACAAGTAAGACGATAAAGCAGCTGTATGAATGATTTTATTGGTTAGAAATCTACAACACTACATCATATTCATCGTCATCTTCGTCCGCATCTTCATTATCATCTTCGTAAGCATCTTCATCATCATGGAAGGCTTCATTGGCTTCATTGGCGTCATCGACCCCGTCATGAATGGAGACCTGTACGGGAGGTTGTATTAAGTTTAGGGCTTCTTTTGGAAGGAATTCCTTTTTTACCCTTACTACTTGTCGCTTGTAAATACGCGACTAAAACTGAAAGTAACAAGAAGTAGCAATCACACTAAATGGTTCGAGACTATCAGACGTGTAACCAATTCGCACAAATAGTAATCGAAACTCGGACTAACTCGGAACGTGATTAATAACGTCAAAGTTTCTGAAATAATGTTTAAATATACTTTATCACTCATGGCTCGCTAGAAAAGTAAGCCACAACAATGTGGCTTACATTTCTAGCGAAGATGCACTTCAATACAGATCTATCCTTATGAAGACAGATGACTTACCTGAATTTGAGGGTTTCATAACTATTCCATTTGTTAAAATAGCACCTCAGAATGTCGCGGCTGTTGCGACATAACAGAGCCATGAGCGATAAAGGATATTTAAAAATTATTTCAGAAACTTTAACATTATTATATCATGTTCCGAGTTAGTCCGAGTTTCAATTACTACTTGTGCGAATTGGTTACACGTCTGATATTCTCGAAGCGTTTAGTATCTATGCTACTTCTTGCTACTTTCTGTTCTCGACGCGTATTTACAAGCGACAAGTAGCAAGGGTAAAAAAGGAACCCCTTCCAAAAGAAGCCCTAGATTTATTACAACCTCCCGTACAGGTCTCTATTCAGTACGGGGTCGATGACATCGATGACGCCAATGAGGCCTTCCATGATGATGAAGATGCTTACGAAGATGATAATGACGATGCGGACGAAGATGACGATGAATATGATGTAGTGTTGTAGATTTCTGACCAATAAAATCATTCATGCATCTGCTTTATCGTCTTACTTGTCCTGATAAGTTGTTCAAACTATTCCCTACTAATTTTACAAACCAAAATAACTCAAGAAGCTGCATATATGCTTTTCCTTTAACACTACGAAGGGAACCGGAAAGAAGTATGCAACTTACAAAATCACTCCATGACGGTTCGATTTAATGCCAGTTTGGACCCTCTCTGGCCCCACTGTGCGCCATGACGAACGTCGAGGCGGAGAGATCGTTCGAACCTAGTATTTCAAGTACTGTTTACTGTCGTTTGAGATTTTGAGATTGTCGAGTTTTGCGTATTTTTGTCTTTTGGTCTCGTTCCTAGTGGAATTTCGTAGAGTGGCTCGAACGGCTCCGCCTAGGCGATCGGGTGAAGGTGACGAACGATCGTCTGGGTACTGCAGGCCCGGAACCGTCCCCCTTTCATACCGAAGTGAAACTTCCCTCAAATCAGTCGGTTCGAATACAACACTTTTTTATTAAGGGTATTGGACGAAACTGTCCACAACTTTGACTCGTGATCATCTAAGAATAGTCCTGGCACATTCAAAATTTTGATTTTTCAACAACATTTTTTAACTTTGCCCAGGCCAGAACGAAAATGGCGTCGAGCTCTCATATTTCGATTAATATACAATTATTGAAAGCTCTGATATGAGAAACGAAGGTGCCAGGACAATTTTATAACAATTTAGAATACTCTGGTAATCTATAAACTCGCATTTGAGCGGGATAAAAGTAAAAATGTGTCTTACGCGCTTCTATGCTAAAACGATGAGAATACGAGGTCTCGGAGTGAAAATTTAATTGACCTGGAAACCACAGATGGCGCAAGGGATCCCTCTGCAGTCAATTAGGACCACAGAAAATAAAAATCCAGAAGATTTCTGGAGTTTTACTTCGATTTCTTTATAATTATTGCACGACAAATTACCTCAGGTTGGTTCGATGCACGATCTGAGACAGTACAAATGATATCAGCTGGTTACACATCTGAATACGAATGCGTACGAGGCAAGATGAAGCAGAACGCATGCCTCGTATTCAGTTGTGTATGCGGTAATGAACGAAATCGTTCGAGGCAATGAACGGACATCTTACCAAATGGCATTCGAACAGCTTCGGATTGTATGCTCATTGAGTTCCGCTCGCAGAACTGTGAGAGAACGAGACCTGGTCCGATCGGGTCTATGCTTGTCTGCGCAGGTAGAATGTGCAGTAAGTTCTTGACAGTTGTTTAACAGCGATATACATATTTACATACGCAAATTGCTTTACTGCGCATTCCTGTGCGCAGACAAGCGTAGACGCGAGTCTACGGGGTCAGTTCTCATTCTCTCACTGTTCTATTAGACCCAGTTAGAGCCATATTCAATCATAGAGAGTGAGCGGTCCATGTATTATACGTCCATAATTATATGCCAAATGATTCGAGGTAGTTTGCCGCACTTCGATTCTTTGACCACACTTGTATATCTGCCTTATCTCGAACACGTTTGTGCTCAGATGTATACCCAACTATCCACAAGAGTCGAAAAATTCGGTTCGATATGGACGGTGTTTATTTCTATTTTGCCTCGTAACAAATCGAACAGACGTGGATGACACTTATTGGGTTGTCCAGAAAGTTCGTGCGAATTTCGGTAGGTGGCATTGGGACAGGTCTGAATATATCAAAATTATTGAAAACAATTGACATGTGTACATATTCTAAAGGGTGATATTTCAGGCACCTTTAGAAAAAAGTGTGGTTGGGATGCATTAATTTTTACTAGTTTTATACGCTCTTAAATATGGAATATAAGTGCATTATAGGCATTTGATGTTTTTCTTGTACTGAAAAGGTAAAAATGCAGCACTAGTAGCAAACAAGATATGCGCTGCTTATGGTGGCAGTGGTATAGTTGAAAGAATTGTGCTGAAGTAATTTGAAGCCGGGGATTTCAACCCTGAAGATTAAAAACGCCCGAATAGGCTCTCCATCACTGATGAAAATGAAATCAAAACACTAATCGAGAATAACTCACGCTATACGACACGTGAATTAGACGAAATGTTAAAGATATAAAAATGCACGAGCATCTTATGAAGCTTGGCTATATAAGCCGTTTTGATGTACGGGTTCCCCACGATTTAACGGAAAGAAATCTGATAAATTGTATTTCCATTTGCAACTCGCTCTATAAACGCAACGAGGAGACACTATTTTTGACGCAAGTAGTGGCAAGGGATGAAAAATGGATTATTTAAATAATATTGAGCGGAAAAGATCTTGGTCAAAGCGGAATGAATCACCTTTAGCCACTCCAAAAGCCGATCTTCATCCGAAGAAAGTCATGCTCTGTATCTGGTGGGACTGGAAAGGAATCCTGTATTATGAGCTTCTACCAAACAACCAGACGATAAATTTGGAAAAGTATTGTTTGCAATTAGTCGAATTGAAGACAGCAATTGATCAAAAACGTCCAGAACCTGTGAATCGGAAGGGAGTCGTGTTTCATCAGGGCAATCGGCGGCCTCATGTGTCTCTGAATACTCGACAAAAGCTGTTGGAGCTTAGTTAGGATGTACTACCCCATTCATCGCAATCACCAGACATTGCACCCTTAGATTTTCACCTATTTAGATAATTACAAAATTCCCTTAATGGCAGAAACTTTAACTCTTTGGTCGACATAAAAAGTTATGTTGAAAAACCTGAGAAGTTCTGGAAGAATGGAATATACAAGTTGCGTGAAAGATGGAGAAAGGTTGTGGAACAAAATAGCACCTATATAATTCAATAAATGTATATTGAAATTTAAATGTGCTGCGTTTGAATTTTCCTTAAAAATCGGCACGAACTTTTCGGACAACCCAACACGAACAAATGATTGGATCGATGCCTCGTTCGTTGCCTCAGATGATTTCGTTTGCAACCAAAAATCCAGGTACACGTTTGGAAGCCGGATACGCATATAAACACAAATGTGTACAGGACAAGGCGAGGCAGAACGAATGCCTCGTACGCGTTCATGTTCAGATGTGTATCCGGATTTTTGGTTGTGAACGAAATCATCTGAAGCAACGAACGAGGCATCGATCCATTCATACTCATAAATATCATCCACGTCTGTTCGATTCATTGTGAAGCAAAATAGAAACAAACTCTGTCTACATCGAATCGAATTTTTCGATTCTTGTGGATATCATTTGTACTGCCTCAGATCAGGCGCCGAACAAACCCGAGGCAGTTTGCTGCTCCTTGATTGCTCGTTCTCATTTGTATGCTCATTTGGCTTCGCCTGGCCTTATATGCGTTCGTGTTCAGATGTGTACTCGACATAATGTAGGATTTCCATAGGCTCGGAAAGCATACGAAATTGACGCGAAGCCCGGAACACGGAATAAACTATCTAAAAGACATTCCGCGTGCTTTCCGTGTGTATGGAAATGACACATAACTTATTAAAATAAAGGAAAATCGCGAATACGTTCACTAGTCCCGGCAGCTACTTTTACAACGATGTTTATTTGTCTCGGAACAAAATGCTAAAATCAATCAATTTAATTTTACTATTAAGATATTACTTGTGCAGGGCTCCTAATCATTGTTTACGAAACAAAATATGGAAACTATACAATGAAAGATAATGTGAACCGATTAAATTAACATCTATCAAATGCAAACAAGATGGCCATTATTAATAACTTCTATTTCTGTACATGCTATACGTGGACTACTTACCAGTTGCTACACCGGTGGCTACAGTGTGATAAAGCATCGGATGATGTTGGTGTTGATGCAATGCACTTGCTTGTTGCTGTTGCTGAATTAATAATTGTAGTTGATGCTGTTGAAAACGTTCTAATTCTTCTCGATGCCTTCTTTGAAGTGTTTCCAATTCCATTGTTTGCCTATCAAAGATAAAACATGTGTTGTACCACTAATGTAAACTTCAATACATATGAAAAAAATCATTACTAATTACTTATTAACATTAACTAACCTTTTTATCAGTAATTGATACTCTTCGCTCGGTGTTAGCCCCCGATTCTTATCCTCCTTTTCATTCTGTAACATATTTATTTATACGCACACTTATTGAGACACAATTGTCAGTCACATAATTACAAGAATACATCAAAGATATGTCTTAAGTGAAACTTCTTTAACCTCGGTAGTGTGAGTTCGCTGTTTAGGGACTTTAAGGCTGGCCACAAATGTTAGGTTTTTGGATCCAGTTACAGAATCAGACTGCCTAAAGGTGCGAAATTCATATAATTTGTGCCGCACACCATGGAAACTAGAGACCAGGAGGATGAACACAATGTTATAAAAGTTTCTTCAAAATCGGATACATTGTTAGGTGGCGCCACATTCACTTGGGAACCACTACTTGAATAAAGCGCGGGCATGGATTTGAAGACATACAATTGTAATACAGTCACACTTTCCAACTAAACTAAGATAAAATATTTAATGTATATTTTATCTATACAATTTTCTTATGAGCATTTATTTGTGATATACATAAGTATTGTAATTGAAAAAATTTTGGCTCGGATAGTAAAACGTAAGTTTTCTGAGTTTTCAATTTGACAGGTCTCCCGCGTTGTCTGAGATTCACAAGATTGCGTACTACATGTTGGTCCGTTAGCGATAGCGCTACCACCTACAGAGAAAACTTCAAACAATGTTCTGTATCCTTTTTCGCGGACAAGAGCTCCCATGAGGGACCCCATGCAGTTCGTCCTCCTGGGGGCGATTTTGTAACTCAAATCGGGTTAAAATGTTAAAAGAGAGTACCTCCCGCGAGTTTGTAATATGTATACTTTGATTCAAAGGACGAAGCAGTTGAACCGTTAACAAGTTGAGAAATGTTTCAGAATAATATTTTATTACTTGGGTTTAATTTTATTTGCTTCTAAATGTTTGTTTTCTTTGGAAAAAGGATTTTGTCACTCGCAGCAATTCACATTTTGCGCCGATTCCACGGCTTATTCTGCACGACCGGTGTCGACAGCATATCCGAAGAGAAACCAGTTAATGCTCACCAGTTATCACTGGGAGGAGAGCTTATTTCTCTCACTGTCATCTGACCTGAGATTATTCACCCGATTTTATGTCCTGCAGTAAAAATGCGAAATCTCTAGACTGAAAGTATGGGAAAAAAATGTTTTAGACGGAAGAGCAACATATATGTCTTCCCCTGCAAATAATTTAAATTTATCCAATTTATCCCTCGTACCGTAGGAACAAAAAATTGTGGTGAGTTGAAAGTTTTATATGCGACATAATGATGAGATGAAAATGAATGTTACAGACCAACAACAAATATTTATTAGTGCTAATGTACCGTAATACATAATAATATAAAAAAGTATTTGTGTTAATAATAAACGTTACTGTTAAGATTACTCATATGAAATTGATTTTAAAATATACCGAGGGGTTCTTCTCGCTATTCTCAGTGTTCCATCCTTCTTTTTCCTGTTTGTCGTCAAGTACTATCAATATGGCTAGGTAGACCATGTTAACTTCTAATGACAATTTTTGTTCCTACGGTACGAGGGATAAATTGGATAAATTCAAACTGTTTTCAAGTGAAGACATGTATGTTACTCTTCCGCCCAAAACCTTTTTGCCCTATACTTTGTCTAGAGACTTCGCACTTTTACTGCAGGATACAAAATCGGGTGAATAATCCCAGGTCAGATGAAAGTGCTAGAAATGAGCTCTCCTCCTAAAGATAACTGGTGAGCATTGACTGGTTTCTCTGCGGGGTTACGTAGGCACCGTTTACGAAATAGTCATAACCCGGTAAACCGAAAGATAGTAATGGAATTCCATTAATTAGCACGCGATTTTGACGTACGCTTGCGAAAGGAAATCCTGAGTCGGCCTGACTAACAAGGGAACATTCCTAAGTGTCCGCCTCCGATCTTATTGTTTCATATATGTTGAAGAACATGAAAATATAAGAGACACGTGTTTCTTTATACCTGCAATGGTCCTCAATTAAGGGGTGAAACAACCCCCCAAATTTTAGCCAAAAATCGGTTTTTTAAGTATTTTTCGTAGGAGCAGTGGGGGGATTTCTACAAAACTTTGCATAAACGTATTCTGTATAAGGACGGTGACAACACAATATTCCTCGGCAATGTTACACCCCCTCAAGGGGGTGAACTACCCTTCAGGTGACATTTTTTTGTAATATCCATTAAACAAGCACTCCTACTTAAGTTCCACTTACGCGATGTGATTGCTCGCAAAAAATTAAGAAATAGATGTTTTTTGCTTTTTGCCAATAAACATTTACACATCGGTTGTAAACAATGAATGCAGGTGGTATTAGGGTATATCCCGACTACCTTCATTGGGTTATATCGTGAGCAATTCATCGTACATAAGTCGTGTCAACGTGGTAATTCTTCAAAATGTCATTGATTTTCATAACATGCAATTATTTATAAATAAATTAAAAAATAGTTTCAGAGGCTAAAATTGTTTCGCAACGGATTCGACGATGCAGACATCACCCGTTTCCAACTAGTAATACAATCTCCGTGGTGAAACGATAAAATTGGATTTTCACTGTTTTTACGAAAAAATAGAGTCACGTGATAGGGACCTCGAACCCCCCGCCTCTACCGTGCCGTGGACAGTCGTAAGGACTTCCACGGGGCTGAGCAGCCGGTGATCGGGGCCGTTTCTCGCCCCGCGACGTCGGCCTTGCCCTTGTCGGGAATCCGCGGGCCGCGGCGCGCTTCTCGCGCCTGGCGCCCTAATACAAATAAAACACGGCCCTGCGGCGGTCGGGCGAACTCCCTCCGGCCGATCTCGCGGAGAGGCGTTCCACCTGCGGACCCCAATCCTTCCCACCGTTTGCCATCGCGCCTCGGGTACAGGAAAACGCGTTGCACTATATATCAAAATTTAGTTATCATAAACCAGTTCTTTCTTTTTTAGATTATGACAATCAACCCTGATAAATAATGAATAAGAAGGCTGATGTTTGCGTCGGCTCTCTGGCGATAATTGACGCGGGTCATTTTCGAAAGCCGCAACAAATTTAAGAGAAAAATAATGTAATTTAGGAAAATGAAAGATTTTGAATGACCAGCGCAAAATGACGTGGCTCATTATCACTACGGTGATTTGCTCCGAAACTACTGGAATAATTTGGGGTAGGGGTTAAGGGAAGTCACTAGTCTATAAGTATCTCTTGTCTATATGTTACTTAGGTTACACCGATTAATATCCGAGGTTAGAGAGCAGGCTCGTAGATGTTAAGGAGTCGGAGTATGGCCGGTAAGAAGGAACGGGGGTCCGAAGAGCGGCGTTATCGGCTACGATTGGTCTCGTAGGGAGTTCGGCTAATCGGAGGCGCGTGCCGCAGGGTAAAAAGTACAAGGAGCCCAGTCTCCTTTTTCTTGGTCAAACTATCGACGTGGGAAGACGTTCCGAGAAGCCGTTGAAATAGGATACATTTTGAGATTTTAAGATTGAGAGAGAATGAGAGAGGAGAGAGGGGAAGAGGAAGGGAAAGGGAGAGGGAGAGAGGGGGAGGAGAGGGAGAGAGTAAGAGAGAGCGAAGAGACAACGAGAAGTAGCAGAGCCTCGTCATGACCACTCGGTCGTGATATTACAATTGTTACGGAATCTTTTAGGCGGCGGCCGGTTCTTATTAATTAGAGCCTCGCCATTTTGGAACTTGATTAAAAACCGATAACAACCAAGAGAACGCTACTGCGCGTCGTATAATGAGTACCGCTGTACAGACCGGGAACTCGCGATCCTGAGTATTTAGTGTTGTGAGAGTTAGATTGTAATAATTTAATGCCGCCCGGTGGTGGCTGGCGCCTATTTTAGAGTGTAAGGGCTTTCACTTTCAGCAGCACTTTAAACGTCTTTTAGTCAAAGATGATCGGACCGCTGCTAAAAGACGCCATACTCATACCTTCTTTTATGATCGCTTTTAGTTAAAAGGCCACTTTTACTAAATGTAATATGACAACGTCGAAAAAATGTGACGACTGCGTTCCGCGTATGCGCTCCGTGCTCCCAACGTGTGCGTTTCTTGTATGTCAAAAATTCAGAGTCTGCTGAACTTTGCCACTAAAATGGAAGCGAGTTCGACAGAATATAGCCGGAACTAAAGCCCAATTTCTTGATTAGCCAAGAACGACATAAATTCGACTTCAGAAGTCCCTGGTATTTATTTGATGCTCTGTATTCACTTCGCGAGCTTTTGCTCTGTGAAAAATGTCGTTAATGTATTCCATTTTTCATGTACGATTTTGACAACTAAAAGGTGTAAAATCTTGATGTATAATTTTGACAGCTAAAAGCGGTTTTAAAGTCCCCCTACCCACTTTTAGGAAATCGTCGCTCACTTTTATCAAAAAAGCGCTCAAAAAGAAGTTTAAATAGAGGTATGAGTGGATATTGCGGCTAAAATACGTAATTTATGACTTCTTTTAAAGATTTTCTATAAAAGTGGTTTAAACAGCGGGACGAGGTATTGCTGCTAAAATACATCATCCTAAATTATCCTAAAAGCGCTCAAAAAGAAGCTTAAAAGGGGGTATCGGTAGGTACTACTACTAAAATATGTCATTTATGGCTTCTTTTAAAGATTTTCTATAAAAGTGGTTTAAAAACGAGACATCAGTAGGGTTGCTTTTAACGGTGCTCTAAAATACGTCTCTCAAAGCTAAAAGTGAGATGTGAGTAAGGACCTAGAGTAAGGGTAGTGAAAATATGGCGAAAACCATGCCATGGTATTACTTACTCTTATTATTAATGATATAAAGATCGATAAAAATACATAATTTTACGTTCGAGTAGAGTAAGTACCTCAGTGGTTGAAGAACTAGCAGAGGTAACGGGTGTCGTTAGCGGTAGGGATCCCTCTCGACTATGCAGTACTTGTACTGGTACATCTGGAAGCAAATTTTGACGCATAAAATATTGTTTGTAAGACACAGTTTCGTAATTTTTATTTCATTCGAAATGCTTATGTTCTTTCTTCTTCACTCTGCCAAAACCTGTGCTATCTACAATTTCTTTTGAGTAGGTCATATGGGTTCTTGATATCTTTATCCTCGACTGTAAACGGTGTCCCATATGGATCAATTTGGTATTCAAGTCGAATTTAAAATTGAAAATTCCTTTTCCACTTTTAGCTCGGACCATTATTTACCGAGTTAATATCAGTTAATGTTGAGCGATGGAAGGTTATGAAAATGATGAATTAATTAAGTAGGGGCGTAAAATTTACAAATGGTGGATTGTGCTGGAACGTAGCACACCGTGGGCCCGTTCTCGTTTACCGTACAAAATTTTTCGGTTTGAAAATCGATCAATTTAAATTTTATTAAGCATTTATAAATATTTTAATAAATATTAACCAACCAATGAATTATTAAACAAATTAAGGTGTTGTGAATCCGGCTTTTGAGGGGTAAAATTGTTTATGAACATTTTTTCCGATATGGATATATCGGTTCGTTTCAAATTTAACCATGTGAAAAAAGAGGTCCAAAAGTAAGTTCTAACACTCGTGAAATTCCTTTTTTTTAATACAAAAATTTTATTTATCATTAACTAGTACTAACATGGGGTTGTCCGCGTATATTTTTGCTTTTTTACGCTTTTTGAAGGCATCGAATCGCAAATAAAGACTTGATGAACCTTAGAAACGTGACAGATGGTATTGTTGGTTGATTTGAGTGACAAAAGTCATGAATCGAAGGGATTTCTTCAGTTTTACCTCGATTTCATTATAATAAGTCTACTGAAATGACATATGGAGTACTTTATACCGTATAATTCTCAGTTTAGCGTGTAACAGATGTCAACATAAATACAAATGTCGATCATGTGGTCTGCCGGCTTTTCTAACCCCTTGAGCATCCAAAATAGCGTAACTGTTGAAAAGGGTATAAAAGAATTTTATTTTATCGACGTTGATTAAATTTCTGTAAGCCTTTCATATCAACTTAATTAAATTACTGGACACTTCATCATTTAAGCAGTAATTGATTAACTAACATTGGGTAATTAGTTTTTCAAAATTATTACGTGAGTCAATAATGGATCATTTTGTAACAGTTCTTATTCTTATTCATTTGTTTATTTCTTAATTAATTTAGTGATTCATTTATTAAATATTTAAAAATTGAAAATGAAATTTTAACCAAGATTATATACGGCAAGTGCAAATGCATATACATCACGACGTTCTACGTCCTGAGTACCCTGGCTGCTCGCTGTGAATGGCCAAATTTAATTGTTAATCACTTAATAAATAACGGTCTGAGCCAAAAGCAGAAAAGGACCTTTTAGATAAAAATTTCACTCTCTTTGACACCATGTTTAATACTCGTGGATGAGACTTCTTATTATAAATAAGAAAAATGTTTAATTTCTATTGAACCCTTTGTGGACGACCGACGCATATATGAAGTTGGTTTAAACCATTTTCCAACTATCCCTTCCGCACAGAGTTAACAAAGTAAATTGTATGCTTTTCTCTCGTACATGTTGGTTCTATATTATTAACTTCGTAAATAAAATGTAGAGATCAGCAGAGTTATTGAATACAGATGCACACTATATTAGAATCGACTTCAATAAAAAGTACCATTGCCTGCTATCATAGAGCAATTGGCAGTCACTGATATATACCCTATCTTTAAATTGTCTCAATTGAAATATATGCTATTCGATATAGACATAAACTAATGATTTTTATTGTATACCGAAAAAATTAAACTACTGAATTACAGCTATAGTTCAGACTCATTTATTACAATTCAAGTTAAGTAATATTAATGCTACTTTTTATTATTTTCGGGAAATGTAAAAAACTGGGATTATTTTATTTCATATTTCATAAATGTTTAGATGATGTGAAAGTAGCCTCAAAGACTTTGTTACTTATAATATTTTTCTCCGAACTGGGTGCACCAAATCGTTTCAAACTCTACCACGTCAATGCAGAGCCCCAAAGGATGATCTTATACCCACGAAATTTCATTTTTTACGCGAAACTTTTTTCATTTATCTTAAACTAGAACCAAAATGGCATCGATAATACATATTTTTGATATTTTACCAATTTTGAAAGCTTAGAATAAGAAATGAAGATTTTCAGGATCTGGACATAGCAATTAGGAACATTAGTAATTGAAGATTACAGACTTATGAAAATATTTAGAAAAGCTGTATAAATATGTGCAGTAGAATTCTTTAACATCGCGTGAGTAATACGTGCTCTGTATGCACTCTATTAAAGCAAAAATTTAGTTGATAAATGCTACCGGCAACGCTGCCGATTAGTGTGTTAAAATAGGACTATGCGCAGCCGATAATGAATACCAAAAATCATGAATGCAAGGAACTTGCTGATTTTTCCTACCACCTGTTTAAAATCATTCTACTGAAATAACATGTGATCTATACAATTTCTTATAATTCTCAGTGTAGAGTGTGTTTCACCTTTTGGTGTAGACAGAAATATAAATGGCGTACTATGTTATCGAAATTGTTATAAGAAATGACGTTACCGTCGAAAAGGGTGAAGATCAGAGATTGTTTTAGATGGTACATCCGTCAGAATTCTGTTTTACCAACGTCGATTAAATTTTGTCGGCGCCTTTCACATCACCTGAAGAAGTTAGATAAATATACTTCCACAATGCTTACTTTGAAATTCATCCAGTTGGGTATTTACGGAGACGGTAACTCTAGAGTCTTCGTACGACTGTTGACATTGTTGCGATTTATTCTGTTCGCTCAATGAATGCTGATTTGTAGAGTCCCCCGTTGGTGGTCCAGCCACTTTTGACACCATGAATCTCGATATTTTTCGTACAGGCTGACTTGGTACCACCCTCTATTCAAAAAGTAAACGCTAATCACATAATGAAACAAACTGAACAATGATGTATAACATATTAAAGTAATAGATTATTTTCTATCATGCTCTGTCGTATAAGGCAAAACTAATGTACAATTCAATTCACTTTTGTTCGAGTACAATAAGGGAGACGCTTTCATTAAAAAAAAATTATGTGATAATACGTGCGATATGAGCTGAACATCCATTATGGTGATACAATATCTGATGAATGCCTGGTGGTACGCAAGGATGGGTAATTTTTCAAAGTGTTTGACGTATATTACGTAAACAAAGTAGTTTACCGTGAAAAATCGTAGAAAAGTAAGTAAATTTCGTTTCCAATATGAAGAATACCGTAGATGGACTAGATACAGCATCGACTAGGTTACAAACGTCTTTCATCACATATGTAAACACGAAAATATTTTAAGGAACAATGAATTAATTTGGCGTTTATATTCAAAATTGTTTAGAATTTTACATTTTCAATATGGCGAATTCCACAGATGCATGATATGTATATTCGTAAGGGTAACGTCTTTTAGCGCACATGTAAATATGTAAAAATTGTTAAGGAATTATTAATCTGGCGCTTGTGTTTAACATTTTTTTCGGTTTAACCCTGTTCAATATCAAACTTCTCCCTGGATTTATTATTTTATATTTAGAAATAGAAGGGCGTAATATACTTTGCGTTCAGGTTGAGAACGTGAGACGTATTATACGTTGTAATATACACGTAGAAAACCACGTATATTACATGACGTACTATACTTACCCAAAACTGATGGTACGTACATTTTCTCTGCAAACCAAAGACGCGAACTACAGACACGCGGTTTGACAAACCTAACCATGCACTTCATTCTTTTTTCTCTGTATACATTTTACTGATAAAATTTCTTCAAACTTTTTATTTCTTTTTGTTTGGTTACTACTTCGCTCAACCTTCTGTAAAAGATTTAATTTTCATACAGTTTAAGTACTATTTTTACTCTACAGTGAAAAAAAATTGAAGTGGTCTCTGAGACCACGTGTCTATATTCATGATTCTAAGATAGTATTTCTGTTGTTAAGGGAATGTGAAAGTGGCATCTGAGGGATCAATCCTTCATGAAACATTTCTACGAACTGGGCGTACCGAATCGTGTCAAAATTCACAACGTGAATATGGAAGCTGTAAAGAAGGTCTTCATACCCATAACATTTCATTTCTTTATAAAAATGTAAAATATCTATAAACAAATGTAAAAAAATTCAATTTTATAGTTTGTGACGTGGCAGAATTCTGCTGTCACAATTAAGAGCGCGGCAAGGGCAGTAAGTACCAAATTGTAGATACAATTAATTTCAGTCTCAACGGCGGCTCTCGGGGTCATCCTGGACGATCATTGTAAGTATGTGTTGTAAAAATTCGTTAGTATAAGAATTGTTAGCAAGTAAGTATCGGGTATTGCCCGATGTTGCGGGTCATTACCACCGTCGGTACGAGTCGAGGAGGATAATTCGAGCATTCAATAACCGAGTCGAGATACTCTTCCTGACACCTAGCGTAATCGCTGTCAATTGCCGGCGGGAGACGAGTTCGGCAGCGGTTGACGGAATCGGTCGTGGGTGACCTCCGAAATTCAGAGGTCCTAGAGATCCGCGGAACTCATTGTCCAGGATACACCGAGAGCTGCCAGAGGGGCCGGAAGCCGGTCTCTGCCGTCGCCGCATTCCGTGATTCCGTTGCGATCGTGACTACCGCCTTTGAAGTATCGCTTTTACAGCATCGGTAAGCAAACCCGCCTGGGGAATAAAATCTAAATTCAGTTCCGCTCCATTCGTAATGAATATGTTCGTCTCCTCCTCGACATGCGACCCACCGCCGCCATTCTTCGTGTCGCGGGTAACGGAAACGCTAAGAGGATAGGATCCCGCGTACCGATTTCCACCGCGATCGTTTTAGCCCGGTAGACCCGGGACTCTTTTCCGCGCACAATTAAAATTTTTGTGTTTCGTGAAAGTGACCCCCCAGATGATCGTTGTCAACCCGCCCGGCTCGAATCGGTCCCACCTGTTGCGGGAGTTCGGGCGACGGTAGAGTTGGGCCTTGGGTCCTTTGGTTCTCCCGGGGCGCCGGGAGAAGTGTCGAGGGGAGCCACCCGCTCCTCTGTATTGTCGAACCGGAAATAGTAAACCCGTGGGGGTCCCGAAATATCCGTGGAACGTGTCTAGCGGAATAAACGAGAGTTCCCGCAGGATCGAGTGGTCAAAGAAAATTTGCGTCCCTCAAATCCCAATCCGGCTCCTATTTTGAGTCCATTCGCTGCTTCGCTCCTTTCCGGAACCCCCCATCTCTGCCGTGCCGCGAGGGCCCTGATCGGTTCTCGCGGGGCTGAGTGGCCGGGGGCCGTAGCCGGAAGAGACCGCGGCTCATGGTATGCCGAGGCATACTTGGCGCCTTAAAGAAATTCAAGCGAGCCGTTACGAGCCTCCGAATTCCGTCGCCCGGCCGAACTCGGAATTATTGCGGGAGAATTTTACGGAGTATCTAATTTGCAGGGTGTGGGTGCGAGACCCATAATTCCCGTCGCAAGTTATTAGAACCTTCCTTACAGCCTCCACATTCATGTTATAAATTTTAAACATTCGATACACCCAGTTCAGAGAAAGGTTCATAAACGACGCTTCTTTGATGTCTCACATTACCTTATGGGATAAATTAGTTAGGATTAGTCAGGGTTAAAATAGTACTGATGGTTTCAGTAACTCTTCAGAAAATGTCTTTAAACTAAAAGCTTTTCTTGCATCAAAATTGATTTACAATAATCTTCAAAGAATATAACTGGATAAGCATGTAAAAAGTGTTCGTACACAAAATTAAATTTTGCATACATTAGTTAGTATCTTGCTATCAATGATCAATCTTTGTCACATTTCAATTCTGTAACTCTATTGTTGTTATAGTTAGAGAATCAAATGTAGTTTAAAACTTCTAGAAAAATTGCGAAAAAATTAAGGCACTTGCACACATACAGGCGCCCGTTACACAACTTTCTCAAATTATTTGATTGCATCTTCGACTTGACGTTAATTTGACATTTTTTTAAAATGAAACTTCATTGGTCAAAATTTCTTTTGTTATTACACGTGAATCTTTTATGATTCCGTACATTGTTTCATAAGAGTACAGTACATACATACGTAATCTCTTTTCACATCGCAAAAAAATCATAAAATACCATGTAATACAATAATGCTACCAGGACGGGGACAGACTGGCATACAGTGGGTCAAAGTACCAATCTAGCAGCTGAAACGCCAGCAGCGACGTCATGTTGTTTCTTGATACAAACATGTGAAATGCGCCATTTTTAAGAATTACTTTCTGGTCACTGAGACATAGTTTTGGCAGTAATTACCCTAAAAGCTGAGGTTAAACCGGGGTTTAGGGGACCCACCTCCGTTGACCTTGACCTTAGCATATGTTGTCAAGATCACCCTCCTGAGTGACCTCCTCAAGATTTTAGCCGTCGCTCGTTGTTTGTTAGAAAGTTAACAACAAAATAATTCTGATGAGTTGAATGTACACGTTCAGTACTGATTATACAATTAAAAACTCAGATCATACAACAATAAAACGTGCATTTAATTTTGCGGTTCTTGAAAGTGAACTTCATACGAAAAATGTACAAAGATTATGGAGAGACACACGAAGAAATATTCCTCGTTATAGTATCTGCGATCATCATTATACTCATTATCTTGCTGAATACTGATTTAAAAGAAGATATCATTTCGGTGATCATATTAACGCTTTCTTCAAAATTCTGATTTTAATATATCCATTAGAACATAATTCGATAATTAAATATGATTAAGTGAGGTAGAATTTTATGTATTGTTACAATTAACAGATGGCCGGCCGTCTCATGGCGGTCAGTTCTGTTTGTTAACCTACACTAATCCAAATGAATTCAAACAAAATCGTCCTAAAACAGTTGGAAATATTAACGTAAGTTTCATTTTATATATCGTTTGTGTAATCTTTGCAACGATTTAATTTAAGTTAATTTGGGTTAGGTTAGGTAATAGTCTAAACGGATGTCAGTCTCATGTATTACGCCGATGACACGTGTGTGCTGGCTTGCGGGGAGGATCGGGGAGAGACCGCACGCCCTGCGCAGTTGGGTGTGGCGTGCGTCATTGCAGCGATCCGGGGATTGGAGCTCGAAGTGGCCCCTCAGAAGATTAATTGGCTGCATGCCAGGCCTCAGGGGGGCTCGCCCCAAACCCAGATCCGAGTAGGTAATACCGATGTCGAGGTCGAAGATACCATGAGGTACCACGGCTTTGACATAGACAGACTCTGGGGTTTCGATGGTCACTTCGGCCGTTTGACTCCTCAAGTGAAATGAAAGGCGGCTGCTTTAGACCGCCTGTTTCCGAACGCTGGGGGGCCGGACGAGAAGGTCCGCCGCCTCTACGTGGGCGTCGTGTGATCCATAATTAGCTATGGATCGCCGGCGTGGATTGGCGACCTGATGGTTAGTCCGCGCACGGAAGGGTGGCCATCAGAGTCACCCTGGGGTATCGCACGATATCTCACAAGGCGGCGGCAGCTCTTTCTGGGTTATCGCCCTTTGAATTTCAGGCGGAGGCGGAAAAAATCGTTTATCGGTTCATCCACGGTCTCCGCTAACGGGGGGGGGGGGGGGCGATAGAATGTATGTTCAAGGTGACGAAGCTCCAATCCTGTCGTCTTCCCTGGGCCAAATGGAGCGAGCGGCTCGCCGCTTGGCAGTCGGGGAGGTTTTTGCCCATTGAGATGGCTGGGTAGACCGCGGCAGGGGTCGGCTTGTCTACAGGCTGACGCAGGTGGTCTCCGGGCATCGTTGTTTCGGAGAGTACCTGTGTCGCATAGGCTGAGAGGCGATGGCGCACTGTCACCAATGCGGTGGGATCGGGACACTGCGCAACACACCTTAGAGATGTGTCCAGCGCGGGAC